AATTCTGATTCTGTACTTGAGTTCCAAATCCATAACAAAATCAGAAAGACATTTGTTTGAGGTATTTATAGAGTGTCTGTTTGACTAACCATCTGTGATCTGATTGAAGTATACACATTGTCCGGACTGATAAAAACCATTTCTATGGATTAGAATAGTAACTTTGACACTGTTACACCTAAAAATTTTGCTCCTAGTGACTTTCCTGACCTGTTTACTTGCAAAGGTAAATCTTAAAACTGTAAAATTAGAAAGGTAGCATGAGGAAAGAGTATGACTAGTCGGTCCACTTCAAAAAGACTTTGAAGTGAAGAGATGCTGTTTGAACACTGCATGCTTTTCAAAACTGCTTCTTGCTTAAGGTCTGGATTAAGCTGGCTGCCTTCCTCAGTTGCTTAGTAGCTTTTGGGTTTATTTGGGAAGGTAGAAGTAAGAAGATGCTAAAGTATTTTGCTCTGCTTTCACTTCTCTCATTTCTATTTCAAAAGGAGATTCATCCCTTTTTTTGTTGTTTATGATGTTCACTACAAATTTTAGCAGAAATGTAGTTCACTATAGCTTGGCATTAATTACTCTGAGAAACCTCCCTATGTTCATTCATTTGCTTCCTTCAAGATTTTTTTGTCATGGATCAGTACATTTTTCTAAGTTCAAAATGTCCAGATTAGGAGTCGAAAAGAGGAAAAACAGCAGGCTGTAATATGATTGATTCAAAAAATATACATGTAATGGTCACTTATTATTTATTGAGATTGCTCCTTAGGAATGATTATTGAACAGCAAGTTTTGGGAAGCTGGCTATGCTTGTTCAAGATGGTAGGAAATTGAAGTTTCTGATATTGTTTCACAAGATTAATTTTCTTTAGTGATAACCTGGGGAATTCTTTAAATTGCCTCATCTTAGTTGATGTAGCACCATCTGCCACATCTGCAAAGGAGATAATTATTTTTAGGAGCAGTTGTGGGTTTTTTGATTAAGTCTTGAGTCATCGAGGTCAGTATTTTTGAATTATTTAACATAGGAAAGATGAAGCAATTCGTTTGCATTTTGGACAGTAATACACGATGTGTTATTATGACAGTTAGTGATATAAATCTCGTAGCTATTTACTAGAGTTCTCTAATTTCCAGGAAGCTTTTTTGTATTCTTTGCAAGTGCATATAGCTTGTAGGAAAAAAATTATCAGTTACTATTCATGAATCAGTAAGACAGCACCTGGTGACACATGAGTGTGGAGACTTCTCTGTTAATGAAATACCAAAGTGAAAATGATGCACTTAGCACCAAGTCTGAGGTCCAGGTTCTCAACTTCAGTTTCAAAAGCTGAATTATAGATTAGGATCTTTCACACCAAAAGAAAACTCTCAAAATGAGCCATCCCTTAACAGAGATCGGTTGCTGTGCCTGTGGGATTTTGTGATACCTCCAAGTCAGATGAGCACATCTAGCATTCTCCATGATATACTAAACAAGGGAGCCAAGAAAACTTGAGAACTGAGACCCAAAAACTCCAACAGCTTTCTTTATCTTGTAGTGAAAAGGCTCCAATCTGTGCCAGATGTCCTGAAAGTCCAGCACTTGGTGTAAGCTCCTATTGTGAAGTAAGGAGCATAGTATGTGAATGCAAAGCTGTCACTTGATGATGAGCTGACTACATCTCTGCAAGAGTTTCTTTCTGCTTCCTGCTATTGAGGAACTAATGAGAGCAGAAACTTGTCAAAGCCAGAATAGTTTTTCTCTGGAGAGTTAATGAAAAATAGGTTTATATTACTGCCTTTGCTACAGAGGGTGGCAGAGCTGTATGGCCTGAGGAGGGTCTCTTGAGAAAACACTTGTTGAAAATGAAAGGTTAGAAAGGGTACCCATGGGATAATGAGAAGAGGAAACTTTGCCCTAACTGGGAGTTGAGATAATTGAAAAAGAGATGCTGAAAAGCCAAATCAGTGTTCCATGTTGGAAGAAAGACCTGTGCTCCTGAAGGTATCTCTGCAGGACCTCATACTGCACCTCCCTGAGTTATGGAAGACTCACATTTGTGGTGCTGAATTCCCAGCCTGCAGAAGCACAGCTGGCTGCTCATTTTCTCATCAGTTTGCATTGCTGCAAATCTCCTTTGTGTCACACCTAGAGGGGCTCATGTACCTGTTTCCCCGTGCTGCTTCTAGATATTGTGTGGCCATAAACTCATTAAGGAGAAGGTTGTGGAATCTAAAACTGAATGTAGCTCTCCTATTTTGACACCTCTTTGTTAAAATTTTTCTGCACTTCAGTGACTGAGCCCTGACCCCGAAGCTGTTTGCAAGGGGTAGGAGCCCAGAGTTCCTGTCCTTGGGATAATTCAGGAGTGGAACTGCAGTGCAGCATGAGAATAGTTCTGCTCTGCAGTTAAATTACAAGAGACATCAACTCAAGACAAAAAAAAAGCTCCAAAAGTGTTAGAGATACTTGTAAATGCATTGTCCCTTGCCCTGTGAAATACAGTTGCTTGATTTTTCCTGTGCTCCAAGTAATCAGCTGGATGTGAAATACAGCTCTGATGACTGGGATGGGTGACAAGAAGATTTAGGTTTACCAAATCTTGGAGACAGCAAAGGTAGCCGGATTCCTGTCTGAACTTTAGTCTGAGTGGGAGCCTAGTCTCATTTAAAATATTTAATGGCATTTTACATTTATTTCAGTCATCATGTGGTTTTAACAAGGTTTTCTATATTTACCAGTGAAAAGTGGGCTTATTTAGAAAAGAACACAGATTTTAAAGGATTAAGAAGCTTTTACAGATCATTTCACTTTCCGCATGACTTGGAGGAGGGCTTTACTTCTGTATGGGACGTGTCATGTGCTACCCCTTGCTGAAATACTGTCCGGTGATAGCACAGATCTGTTGATACTCCAGAATGTGACTCTTCAACTCTATGCTTTAATGTGATATTCTGTTTGCACTGCTTAATTAGGTTCCAAAGAAAGCCTGTAGGTAGTTGTCAAATTATCTTTGTTGCTGTTAGACTCAGCAGCACTTCACGCAGTGAGGTTCAGTTCCCTGCAGACAGTGGAACTGAGAGCAGAGTCATTAGCAGCCCTTTAGCTCCCTGGGGCAGAACCCCTCAGTCTTCCTCGGTGAAGAGCAGGAGAAAACAGTACAACCTTGAACTTCAATCTGCAGGTCAGCCTTGATATGTAATTTTCGATTAGATTGCAGAGGTGATGCATCTTATAAAAAGAGGCAGTGCACAGCTCCTGCTGGGATTGGTGAGTTTTACCACGTCCAAAGGCTTCATCTCAATGTGGACTTACCAAGGAGGATACTTGACTTACACAGGATTTCACCCTCTGAATATGAGGTTCCTACTTTAAATGGAGATAGAAAGCCAGAATTGACTTCCTGTGTTTAATTTCCCTCATTCTGTTAAAGAACTCAGTATAAGGCTTATAAAATGCCATTTTGCTGTGTTAAATACCAGAGAAATTACTGCCCAGAAATATTACTGTGTATCTATATCATCTGAGAGCAATGAAGCAGTTTTGTAAACAGGCAAAAGTCTTCTTTCTAAGTACAAATGATGCTGGTGTCTGCCAGAGTATTAAGTGGTAACACACTTTCCAAGTGAAGTCAGTTAACCCTCTGGTCTCTCTTGAGCATCTATATTCAGTCCTCCCACGTGATTCATTAAACTTCCCCCCAGCTGGCAGTTAACAAGTCCTAAATTAGTTTTATATTTTTTATTCACTCTTCTAATTCCAGCACATCTAGATACTTCTAGAACTTAAAGTTGCTTACCAGTGGGAATGCATATATTCCTAGCTAGTCCTAAGCAGTATCAGGTGAAAGGTATATGCATTAATCTTTAAGGGAAAGGTAGCCTTAGTCATGCTTGGCTCTGGATTTCAGAAAAAAAAACAGTGTGAATGGCCTCCTCTTAACATACTGGTTTACACTCAGTAAAGGTGACTGAGGAAAATGCACTTTAGGTTTGGGCATAGAAGGAAGTTGTACATGGTCTGTTATCCATTGGAACCAATGAGGGATCATTACTGGAGCCATTGTAACCTGGTCACTCTTCATGGTCCATCACAACATGTTCCATATATTCTCATAGGTGACTTGCAATAATTAAAAGCACTCCAAAGACCCAGTCTGGAAAGCAGAACATGATCATGTAGGGATACTTTTCCCCTAGTATGTTCCTGAATAAACAGTCCTTTAGCACATGTGGCCTTAAACTGTGATCATGTTGTGACCAGAGGGTGAAGCTTCATTAATCTTGGACCAATGTAATTATTATACAATGCAAGATCTTTGAAGACTGGCCTGAACTTCCAAAGGAAAAGTATGAGGGTTGGTTCTTGCTGTGTGTGCAAACAATTTGGCTGGGGGAACTTGTTTTTATGGTTTTGTACTTCACATCTGCACAGTCCCAAAGTAAACATATTTGTTGTGTGCCACTGAACCACAAAACAGAATATGTGCACGATTTACCTTAGCCCCAAACCTACAGTGTATCGAGCTGTTCCATCTGGATTACAGAATACTGCCTCTCCTGTTGTGTTTTTTACTTTGTAATCACTACCCCTTTACTTCCATCCTGGCAGGTAAAAATGCAGCAAATATTTCTGTTGTTTACCAAGTAGAATTAATGCAGCAAGCATTTCATGTGCTGCTCCAAGGTGCCTGCTTATGAAAACAAGCTAGTACTACTTTTTACAGTGGCATTCAAGACAGACAGGTCTGGTTGTAGGCAGCTTGTGCTTTCCTCTAGTCTTCAAAAGACATCAGTCTGCTATTTTATATCCAAAGTGTGTAGCTCAGGATAGTCTTCCAGAAAGGGAAAATTAGTAATAAATCGACTACTAACACCAGCTAGGAGAGTACAGACAGCATCTAGTATTCTAAGTTACATTTCTTTACTGACCTGTGTTTTGGTATTGAGTTATTTATGTAGCTGAGTCACTGGAAAGGTTTTTGGGGGCTTGTTTCTTTTTTGTTCTTCAGCAACTTTGAATCTCCACTGATGCATGAAGTCCCAGAGCGCCAAGGCAGCAGCACAGACAGTTCTGCAAGCAGTTTGGGAAGCTCTGTCACAGCATGTAAGAAGGTAACTTTTAAGTTTATGTTATATTCAAGTCCAGTATATATATATATATATATATAGCTTTGCTTTTTAGCTTTCAGCTTTAGTGAGGAATACAAAATTTAAGTGATACTTAGAAAGGGTTTGATACAGAAAAATAACTTAGTGGTGCTGTTATGGTATCTTGGAAGTTTTGTCTGTCTGGTCTCAAAATGCATTATATAGATATGGGAGGTAAACTCCCATTGAACGTTTCTAATTTACCTCATTATCTGACATTTCATTATATGAAATAAAAGCAGTGCATAGCACAAACACCTTCAAGACTGCTCTTCAATAAATGACAACTTTCTGGGGCCCAGACAGAGCTTTGCTTCTCTCAGGTCAGTGCAATGGAGGGTCCTTCGTGAAAAACTGACTCATTTGATCAAAGGGTTCATTTGCAGAATAACACTTGGTTTTTAAAAATGCTGCTGACTGTAATTGGAATCCTCATATAGACAGAAAATCTGCTGTGTGGGAAAACATCTTAAATTTACACTTAATCTCAGAGTTGTCTCCTTTATGTAAGAGTGAAGGAGAGTAGCACAGCATTAAGTGCCACCACTGCCTTTACAAGAAAAGGTTCCTGCTTGGTCACATTCAGAAGTATCACTTTATTTAAAATGGTAGCCTATATCACATGGTTTAGAGCTGCTTCACCTGTCCAATCTCATACATTTGAGCTGTTCATTGTAAAACAAGTCAGTTTTATGATTGTCAGCACACTAGAAGAAGTTATTCACTTCTGACAATACTGCTGACAAACAGCAGGATGGTTTGGGCTTCTTTGCACCATTCTTACACCAAAGAAAGTTTACCTTTTTGTGTGTGTGTGTGTGTGTGTGTGTGTGTGAGGAAAAGGATGAAGAATTCTCTTCTAGTCTGTGTTGGGTGATTTAGAAGTTAAATGTGTAATTGGTGGTGAAGTGGAATGCTGTGGGTTCCTGCTGCAAGGGAACAGTTTAAACAGTTGACTTGCAGGTTTGAGTAGTTATATTTGGCATGAATGGCTCCTGTCAGGAACCATATGAGATGTAGCCTGTTACTACACAGACCAACCTAAACAAATGCAGATGTGCCCCTTGATATCTCGTTTTATTCTGTATGTCCCGCTTTCCTATCTTTTTTTGATGAGTAGTAATTAACCAAAGCAATTAAGATGTTCAGTCATGAAGACGCAGATGTTTCATTTGTGGAGCAGAGCCTTTTTAATGCTGTCTCGGTTATAGATATTTACTGTATTTTAATGCCTTGTGATCTAAATCAGGGAGCAGGAAGCTGTTACACTAAACTCATATGCAGTATTTTCCTCTGGGAAAGAGTGACTTTTCTAATCCACACTCTGCTAGAGGCTGATTCAGTTCATTGATTCACAACACACTGAGTAATGCTGACGGCCGAGTCTCTAGATGAGAGTAGAAAACTTTTTTTTAGAACCATGAATTACTGCTGATTTCACATTTAGTGCATGATGCAGATTCATCCTGAATTATTTTCTGAGTGTGATGATCCTGCTCCAAACCAGATATACAGCAGTATATAGTGTATGCAGCTGTCACATGAGTATGGTCAATGAATCAAATTCTGCTTTCAGTTTTCAGCTGATAGCAAAAATCCTAACAATGTGTCAGTGGGATTGACCCTGCACTTGTCTTAATTAAATAAGAATGAAGAGCAGTACAAGACAGGAGGATGAAATTTTGGCAAGTGATATTGTTTGCCGTAAAGTGCAGGATTGCAGACTGACAGCTCAAGAAGAGGGTTAGTTTTCTTGTAATTTGGTACAGATCACATTAGTATATTTTGAAAAAAATGCTTAAATGCAAGAATGGCAGTGGTAATATGCTGGTAGAGATACAAAGAATACCAGTTCTCACACTGCTTTTGATTAATTAACTAGCTCTGTTAATTTAGATCAACTCCTTCAAGCTCATACACTTCTGATCATAGCAGTTATATATTATTTTACTATAAGGACTTGGGTATTTTCCTCTAAAAGCGTGAATATCCCATCAAGTTTTCATGCGTGTGCAAACTCCCACTTTGTCTAAACACAGGAACCTACTTAACAGGGAGAATTGCCTCACAATAGCAAGAGGCTACAAGAAAGATTCAATTTATTCTTACCATATATGTGTCTTTGTCCACAACAATACTGTCTGTTACCAAAGAAATATGCCCAAAAGTTCACGTGGCTTCTAGAGATACATTTTTGCACAGCAGGTCTGTGTAACCCTACCTGTTATCAGCATTGCAGGGTGGCCCAAATTATCCTTCCTCCATGGAAGTACTAATGGGAAAGCTCTGAGCAATACCATGTCTATAATGATCCTAATGCAAGAACTTGTGTTTTATAAGATGGAGTTTAACCTGATCCCAGGTTTGCCCCTCACTCCTGCCACCACTGACTCAAATGTCACCTCCGTCCCCTGAGCACCCCTCAGACCTGTGTACAAGCAGACCATGTGCAAGGACAGCCCTGGCACACCTTCCTGCATCCCCCATTCCCTAAGGGCTCGATTCAGAGTAGTTTCTGGAGCCTTTCCAAATGACTTTGAGCCAACCTCTGTTCCTTAGATCTGACCAGCTGACCTCTGCCAGCTTCTGCTGTGTGGACTCAAGCATATCTGGTTTTGGTTTTTTCACCTGTCTTTTTCAAATCCAAATTGTTGTGAATTATATTCCGCAACTTCCAGTATTAAAAACGTTACACCTATTCACACCTTCTCACACTTCTGGATACATCCTCAAGTGTGTGTGCAGAACTTCTTTCACACAGGAGAGCAGAATCCAGCCCAGGGAAAACATAATCCTACTAATGGTGTTCATCTGCTTGAGGTTACTTAGAAATCCAAAACTTTAATGTAGTCATTTCTACCCTTGACTTCAAAGTCTGTTACGAAAAGCTGCATACAAAAATTTAAATGCAATATAAAGCCTTGAAACTCATAAACCACCCTGGAGTGACTCGAGCTTGGCAATTGTGACCTGACCTGACCAGACATTTGTTCAGGAAAGTTATTCCTCTGTGGCTGCTTTACCCGTATTTGCTTCCTGATAAAAACATCCTCTGAAAGAAAGAGTTGCCAAGGGTCATCCCACAAGAGACAAAGTGGGTGAAGTGTGGACTGCCCAGCTCATTTCATGGCTTTATCATGTACAATATACATCTGCTATGATCGAGCTGCTCTGAAATGCACACCAGCTCCTTCTGAGACAAAGACGAGCAGCACCACGGATATCTGCAGCTTGTTTCTGCATGAAAAATTTCTGCCTACCACAGTTTATCAGAAACTGTCAGAGTTTTGGGAAAGAAAGATCTAAAATGATTAAGGCTGAAGAAAAATTCACTATGATCTTTAAGGAAATGAAACAAGGTTGCTTGTTACCCCAAAAGCTGTTTGAGCTGAAAAAACCTGTTTGTGTATGCAAAATTGTGTTTTAACAGGTTATTAGAACTTCACCCCTTAAGAATGAGAATGTCTAGAATCTAATTAAATCTGAAATCATATATATATCTCATATATATATATGTGTGTATGTGTGTTTTTGTATATGTTCGATTCTATGTTGTCTTCATAAAAGCTCAGAGAATGGTAATTTTTCAGAAAAAGCAAAAGAATGCTTAATTCTAGATTTTACCAACCAGTTCATAATGCTTCGAGATTTCCTCAAAAAAAACCAAACCCACACAAAAGTTTATTACACTAACAGGAAATTGTTTCTTTGGGATATGGAGTATATTATTTTCCCCATCTAATCTCAGAGTTAGTTATGATGGCAGGAATGTTTTTGCACTGAGACGAGAGGTTATAAAATTTATTGAGTGCAGAGTGGTTGCACTGGTAAACAAGATTAGCTGGCAGCCCCCAGGAAGAGGCTGGTGTGCCTGTGAAGCATTCATGAGCCTTTGGCATTCTCAGAAGAGAGTCTTTGGGCACAGTATTTCCTCTAAGTATTTTGTGAACCTTAAATTGGTATTTTAAAGATCTTTGGAAGAAAACCCATAGCAGGGCTGGTGTACAGAAAAACAACCACAAAGTTGGAAAGTCTCCATGGAGGGCACCAAAAAAGGGCACTGAAGCAAGCCAAGCTCAGGGCCTGTGGTGTTCCCCACCACCTCCTCATCCCTCTCCTGCTGACTTTTATTCAGAATCAGAATAATCCAGTGAGTGAAATATTAACTGTGTAACTGACTTTCTACCAGAAAGATAAAAGTTAGAGTGGGTGTTGGTCTGTGGGTGATAATAAGCTTACTTCTGGATGCCCCCAAGTATTAGAAAACGGTGTCAGCTGGCCAGATGAGCTTTCCAGAGTCATTTATCTTGCCTGGGAAGTGAGAAGGCTCACAAGTTATTCTCACTTCTCTTCCTAAGAAAGGGATCTAGGCTTAGAGATCAGGTGTTCTTGAAGCAGGACAAATGTGTGTCAATACAAAATAGGCAGTCAAGTAAAGGAAAGTACTACTGTAGATAGATTTTCTTTCCCTAGGTATAGCAACAAATTTCTATTTTTAAATATCATTATTAAAAGTCCAAAAATTAGAGGATGGGCTATTTCTATGTAATACAAGAATTGCAAGAAGTACAAGTAAAATAGACACTTATTTCACTAACATACTTCTTAACATTGCTGCCTAAGGAAGATGATAAGCCACAGAAAATGTTCTGTAAGTAGCACCAATGGTGCAGCAAGATTTTTCCTGCTGTTCCCTAGCTGTTTTAAAGATACTAATGGTCCCTCTTTTTCATGGTAGAATATTAGTACAGAGGCAGAAAATAAAGAATTCAGTTTAATCTAAGCATCAGATTTGCAAACTGGCTTTGCCTCTTTAGCGTCTACAGATCTCTGTAGCCCCATTTTGGTTTTCTTTGAGTGGAGGCTCTGGCACAAGCTGTAGGTCTGAGCCAACACAGATTAAACCCAAAGTTTTGGTCTCAGGATGCTGACTGGCTTCAGGACTCGTTACAGAAGGTCCAAAGTACTCCAGCTTCTCAGAAAACAGAAAAACGTAAAGAGTTTGGAGCTTTGGAAGTCCCAGAAATGAGGCTGCTGGCAGACTGAATAGTACTGATCTACTGTGGGGAGAGATACAGTCAGTCATAAAGGCTGCAGGTTTGTGTACTCTGGTGTAATTGAATAGTTAGTTTTCCTAATATGTCTGTTTATCACTTTAACACAGAACAAAACTCATAGCAATATTTTCCAATAAAAATATTGGGTTTGAGCATTTCCTTTAAGTGTCTATCTCCAAGGACTCTCAGTTCTGGAAGAAAATAGGCTCATACTTTAGGGGATATGTAAGTGATGTGACTAAAGGTGCAATAAATGGAGGGGTCCAAACCAAATAGCTCTGTCTTGTCCATCTTTCTCCCCCCACCTCCCTCCCCCCAGTTTTGTCAGCAAAATTTCCATTGAGTTACAACAATAGGGTTCTGGCCCCCAAAGCACAATAGCAGTCAGAAAAGTTTGTAATTATTTTAACTATTTTTATTTTTAACTGTTTTAACAGATTCTCTGCAGTAACAGTCTGCTAGAATCAACAGACTACTGGCTGCAGAATCAGAGGACACCATGCCAAATTGGCTTTCTAGAAGACAAGTCAGAAAGCAACTGTGCGTCAGTAAGTACCCACTGCCCCCTCCTCTGGAGAAAAGTTCCTGCAGAGTTACTTGGGTAGAGTGTGGGGCTGGCAACAGTACATGTTAAACTAAAAAAGGCTGTAATTTCTAGCTTTCTTTTAAAAGCAAACATACAAACTAAAAATACAGATTTATGTACAGAGCACATTAATAAAGACTACTGCAGAGGTTTCCCCACTTTCGGCTTTCAGACTTTGGTGGCTCTCTGTATTGTTTTATGTTCATAATCTGCAACTCGAGAGAGAGAGAAAAATAAGCCAAAGAGAAAATTATTCCGAACCATAACTTGTTAAGTGGCAGGTAAAGAGCAGATGTTTAAAAGGCTGCTCAATGTTCCTGAAGGCAGAGAGACACAATTAAGGAGAAAAGCTCTTTCCATGTTAGATGAGGGGAAGCTGCTGAAGAGCTCAAACAGAATTATTTTGCTCTTGAAATTAAATTTCAATCTCATTATTGTGGGTTATAATTTAAGGGTTATATTAAGATCAGCTTTTGTTTAAGAAATAGGAGTTATGTTGCTTTATAAACTGTCTACATGTAACTGGATTGGAATACATGGCTATGTTTTTAATAGTTTTTTACTTGATGGAGGTCTCAGAAGAACAGATCTTTCCTCAGAATCCTATTCGAATGCTATTCCCTGGTCTCCGTGAGCAAAGAAGGGCTTTAGAAAAGATCAGCTTTATCTCAAATAAGCACTGCCTGTGCTGCACACAGCCTAAAGACCAGCTGAGGGCTCTCATGGAGTCTGCTGGGATTCCCTCAAGGACATGGACATTCAGCTCCAGCTGATGAGCCCAGACTGCTGCTGCCAGGAAAATGAATCTCCATCCCATGGAGGCTTCACACCCTGCCTGGGGCAATGCAGAGTCCCTGAGAGCAGCAGGAGTGACACAGCAGTGGCATTGCAGTCGTGACATTTAGGAGTATGGTCAGAGGTTATTTGGCTTGATTCAGTCATACCAAGCACTGGTCTATCAGTTTCCACAAGGCAGAGTGAGAAAAATACACAACCTGATCCCAGTGAGCAAGTGAGCAGCCTTACAAGGTGAGAACCTGAGCACGTTCTTATCCAGAGCAGGTTCAGCAGGCAGATAATCTTTGGGATCCTTATTTTTTCTTACAGGAAGGGATTGCTTTCAATGCAAAACACACTGACTACAGTCACTTAATTTTACTATTTAGTATTCAATATCCTAAATATAAGGCTGATTTCCTCGGAGGAAATTATTACCTCAAATAATAATATAAGAACTAATTACAGCTTGCCTTTTGACCTGTTGAGCTTTGACTTTTTGCTCAATTTTCCGTAGAATCTTAGAGAAAATTATATTTATCTCTGATAGGTTGGATATACCAAGCAAAGATAAGTTGTTGTAGAAAGATTATGCCATTGCTACTCTCCTTATTTCAGGCAACATTGTCTGATTTTGCCATGCTGTCTGCTTTAAAAGGTTAAACTGCCTCAATGAGCTTTTCCCTCTACACCAGTATTACAAGGGTTTTTTGTTTTTTTTTCTTTGGAGGATATTTGTCTAATTGCTAAACATTTCATTAAACTTACTTCAATTAACAGTGGTACTATTTAGCAGCAGTTTACCATTGAGATTAGGATACATAGTTTCCTGCTAATATAATCAGGTAATATTTTGAAAGTAGTTTAATTATGCATGCCTTTTCTTTGTTTCTACTGAATGAGAACTTAATCAAAATCACCTAATAGAATAAAATACATGGATTTGTGAGGCATAATCACACATAAGCTCCACATAGTGATTTATAAATGCAGTTAAAATTTCTGTAATGTGACATTCTTCTTACTCCATGGAGTGACCTCATAAAATAAAAGTAGATTCAGATAAAAATACATACTTTTGCGTACTCCACTATTTATAGTTTTCTTCTAGCACTGGACTCTCCTAAAGCACAGTCTCTTCATCTTGCACACAGAAATGTCAATTATGACTTTATCTTAGCAGTTGCTAAGATTTAACACTTTGCAATGCTTCTACAGCATCTCCATTTTTAAGGTGGTGTTGCCACACTGCTAAAGGTGTATCATAATTTTCTTTTAGGAATTCTTCATGGACATAGTCATGAAAGTGTTATTTAGGAAAAAATTAGGATACAAAACGAAATTTTTAAAAAAAGGTGATATAGTCCTGCAAGATGCTTATAAGTGAATTTTCAAGAAATTATCCATCCTTTCATGCTCCAGGCCAGCAAAAAGCCATTAGAAATTATATTTGCACTGGGAAAAAAAAATAAAAACAATCTCTCCAAATGGATCCAGACTCCAATGATCTCCACACAAAATCATCACACCCCATCGCTCTTTGCATGACCATCCTGTCCCAACACGGCACAGACATTCCCACTCCACACAACAAGGAATTGTCCTTGAGAACCACTGGTCTAGGAAGGTAGAACCTCTCCTTCCCAAGCAGTGTACCTTTGTGTGAGGATTTCCAGACTGGCAGAAATCCTACAAACTTCTTGTCAAATATCTTGGAGAAGCAGAAACTTTACACCCCTGAATGGCAGTGATAGGTATGGAAGGTGGAAAAATACCTGCCGGTCAGTAAAAACAAAGCCCTAAGAAACGGTGCTCATTTCTTACTTAGCATAACAAGGTAACACTTTTTAAAGAGTAAGGATGTGACAAGGGCTCATTTTGAATTGTTTTATATCTCCTTAAAGCTGAGAAAAAAAACGGATTTGCAGGCAGATGGATGAGAGAACAGTTTCAATAAAGTGTTAAAGGTTTTGAAACATTCTTGAAATAGTCCAGCAGCTTTTCCATTTGCAAGTGCTCCTACTCTGTAACTACAGAAACGCTCACTCCAGAATGCTCCATGCAGGGATGTTAGTAATGCAGGCTGTCTGCACAGACAGAGGCAGTTGGTTTTTGGTTTGATCCAGCCCAAGGGAGCAGCAGGAATACATGGCCAGAACAGAGGGAAAGGACAAGGACAGCAGCTCAAACTTCAGTCAAATTCAGTCATGGCAAAACACCCCCTTGGCTAATTTTTGGCTGCTTTTCTGTGCCCGTGTGCCATTGGCACCTTTTGGGAAGTGTCTGATGATGATGGTGATGGAAACACAAAGAAGAGTGGAGGACAACATGACTGAGGGAGTGGGACAGTGGAGACAGTCACTGAGTGGGCTTATGCTACATGGAAAAATCCTAATCCATCTGCAGCACAGGAGAAAGAATTACAGTTGATGGTTGTAATCTGGTTTAATGCAGGAGAACATGCCCAGCCCACGAGACAAACTTGAGCTTTTCAAAGAAGGGAAGCAGTGCTTCACCTTAGTGAAGTGACAAGTGAGAGAGAAACCAGATCTTTACAAAGCAAACAGGTGATGTGATGATGGATCACAGGGTTTGTGGTGTCTCTGTTAGCTGAGGTAGTGAAGAATGTCACTTTGCTATCAGAGCAGGTGGACTTTCAGAACTGACTGCTTGCCTTGCAACTGCATTCCTTTGCTGTCCTGGCAGATATTTCAGCATTATCACTTTCATTGCAATTTAGCCATCAAGCTTTCAAACAACTTCAGGAGGAGGTTAAGGGTGCCATTATGCAATAATTTGAGCTGGTCAAATCAGGGCTTCTGTGGTGTCACCTCCTCCTCCAGCTCCTGCTTCATCTCATTTACTGCCCTGGCATTTGTACAAATGTGCAGTAAATCATTTCAGGGAAAAAAGTAACTATGAAATTAAGAAATTTTTTAGTTTTTCTAGCCAAGTCTTCCTTGAATCATCTCCCCATATTGTCAGATAAATGCCAGTGCTCACTCAAGGGATGGAACAAAAACATCCAGGAAACAGTTCCCACAAATTAATTCAAACTGAACGATAACATATGCAGAAAGGAAAAATCTTTGGCAAGGTGTATTTTGATGATACAAAGGACAGCAGCTTTCACTTGAATTAAAATAGATTATGAGTGGTTTTCATTCTTTTCTTCACCTAAGACTTTTGAAAGATATGGCACTACATATCTTTGGATATTTAGGTACAAATACACAGATTTTTTTTTGCATCAATCCTTGATACTAGATTACTTCCAGGTAGCTTGCTAACAATAGTGCAGACACTGTGTCAGGGACATTTTCTATCCCTTAGTCAGGCCCCCTGTATCCAATATGTTCTTCAGAGTGTCCAAAGAATGAGAGCAAGCCCTCACTGAAGAGTGACAGTGTCGTCTTACAGGAGCTCAGAAAGAAGGATTGTTCCCAGGGACAGTAGTAGTCAACAGGGCTTTTTACACAGGCAAGTACAGAAGTGCAGTCTTGAATCCCACGGGAGATTTTTGTTTGTTGGCTGGTTTTAAAACAAAGCCATGTTCCTGAATAGTGACCAGGCACAGCTGAAACAAGTGCTGTGTTTTACTGTATTTGCATGAAGTTTCACAGTTGCTAGCAAACACAGCAAAGTCCTGTTTTCCTGCCTAAAACTGCCAGACCTACGTACTAAGACCTTTTTCCTCCTTCATGAGATTGCTTGCACACCTCAGCACTATGTCATAGACAGGGAATTACAAGGGTGTTTATTTTACCTTTCAGTGCATAATTACTCTACCATCTTCAGGAACAGCATTGTCTCTTTCAGAAATCAAAATCCATCCATTGCTTTCCAGATCTAAACCATAATTACTGGAGATATTTTTAGGTTTAAGTCTCATCTTCCTATTCAGCTTCACCATACCTTAATTACATCCTGACAAGGTGCAGGAATCAACAGCAGCAGGCTAAATTGTGGCACTGAGTTGTAGTCCTTTCTCAGGCATGTGTGGGTGTTCCTGCTGCTGTGGTAAGGAATTGTACCTTCCAGAGAAACCCTCTCTGGCTTGCACAGGGAAATAAAACCCCTCCTCTTCACCAGTTGCTTTCTGCCTTATGGAGCCCAGTGCAGGCAGACTGAGCACTTGCTTAAGAGACCACTGAAAGGATTGGTTGTATCATTTGTAAAATATGC